TTGGTTATCCTGTTGTTTTTGTCTACATTCAGAAATACTATGTCCGTATCGTCGGCAAAAATTACACCATTTTGTGAAAGATGGTTTGCCTTTAAAGTTTGGATGTTTTTCATAAATATTTAGTATTTCAGTGATTTTTTCAACGAGGTCTGTATCTGATTCCTGTATGTTATTGATATTTGTGGTATTTGTTTCAATTCGATTAACATATTGTAACTTCAGATTTTCTGTTTCTTCAAGTTTCATTGTGATTTCCGCTTGCTCTAGTTTGTCTACTAGTTTTCGAAAATCTAAATCGGGTTCTCGAATTGAGGAAGGATGAGATGCTTTTTTTTATTGCTATTTTCCTTAATTGAGGTGTTAAGGTCATCATTAAAATTTCTGTCATCTTTGTGTTTTTGTAGTCATGTGTATTTAATGAATATGTTTTTCGAACTAGTGTTTCGATACGTACTGCTAATTGTTTGATGGTTTCATTTGGTAATCTACGAATTTCACTACATAAAACTCTTTGGTGTTGTTTATTTCTTTCGGAGTCAAACATTTTTGAAAATTCTTGTGTAAATCTTTTCCAATTTGATTTTATTTCTATTGGCAAAACTGAAAACCATTTTTGGGCTGCGCCATCTAAGGTTGTTTGTATCAACGCTGTGCGTCAATGTATCCAATTTTGATGTAGTGGTGTATTAATTGGTTCAGGTCCTATATTTAAAATTAAATTTGCTGTTACTGCAATTAAATAATCTTCTACAGAATATTCAGGGTCTGTTCCTGTGAATACCAATAATGGTTTGTTTGATGTTATTGATGATCCACCCATAAGGTATGGATTCATTGTCATTTGTAGTGATTCTGCGGCATTTGGCATTTGTGAAAAATTTGAAAGTTGATTTTTTGTTATTTCGTGTTGTTGAAGGTAATATGGGAGTGGTATTTCATTTTGCATTTGAGTTGGTTGATACGAGTGTGTGATCATTGGGTTTTGTGGCTTAATTGGTTGAAAAGATTGTGTATTAGTTGGGTTTTGCATTTGTATTGGTTGTTGATTTTGTGTATCTGTTGGATGTGGAGAAAAAATTCTAAGATATGTATGTAGTTTTTGTACTCCTTGTCCGCGATATTCTTGAGTATATGGTGCAAAAATATCTGGTTGTAAATAATCATCATCGGAGGATAAATAATCCGTATAATGAGGTGCTTGCTTTTTATTTTTATTTTGTTGAAAGAATGGGTAATTTTCACTACGATCCTGTGGAGGATGTGAGTCAGTTTGAAAATTTACTGAGTTGGTTGTTGCCATTGGGTTATCCCAATAGTGAGATCTTATCTGATTATTATTTTTTTTTCGTGGGGGATAGTTTGTTTTTGATGAATGTGCGTAATTATAATTGTGTTCTGCAAAAGTGTTTCTTGTGAACGTTCTTCGTGTTTTTGACGGTACTGTCATAGGTCTATATGTTTGATAATCCATTTGTGAATATTTTGGAGCCACCGAAGGTTTAACGGTTGATTGTAAGGTTACTTGTGCTACTGAAGTGTTTGTATTTTTTGGTGTTGTTAAATTTGGACGTATCGGTGAAATACTTTGTTGTGTAGTTGTTGTTGTTTGGACGATTTCTTCATTTATGAAGTGTGATGGCGTTTGAATATCTAGTTGTGTAAGATTCCTAGTTCCATTAAGGTTTTCATTGTGTATGACGGTTGAATTTAAACTGTTATTTCGCGTATCAGGTGAAAATGTATTGTAGTTTAATGGTGTTGCATCAATGGTTAAAGGTACTACTCTTACATAATCTCTTGTATAAAATATTGTACTTATTGCTTGACTTGAGATTGATTGTGGGATATTTATGAATGCATGATGAGACCATTCGGGGTCCCAAACGTAGTCTGATTGTTCTGTGACGGCGGTATCATCGTTTGAATTTTGAGGTCTGAAATTTTTTCTTGCTTGTGAAATTAAATCTATATTATGTGTGAAATAATCTATTGTAAACCATGCCAAAATTTTTTGTAAGTCATGTTTTGTATGTTGTGAAACTTCGTCTTTAGTGAAATTTTCTTTAATTATATGTAGGAAAGTTGAAAATAGTGTGATTTTATGTCGTACCCTTATATGTTTGGATGTCTCTGTCGGTGAGACATTTGGGATTGGGATTTCATTTTCTAATATTGAAATATAACTATATATTATTGCAAAAACTTCATTAGTAAATATGGAGTTTGCTCTTTGTGAGTTATGATATTGTATGCTTTTTATATATTTTAAGAATACTTTTGAAAATTCTAAGTCAAGATCGTCTGTTTGAATTACATATTTGCGGTGATTCGGGTTTGGTGTACTGAATTCTATGGTGTAGATTCCGTATTGTTGTGTTAAATTACATATATCTTTCAGGTAATGATCAATAATTTGTCTTTTGATTTTTACATCTGGGAACTCTGCTTTACATGGGCTAATTCCGGGTTCAAACAAATTTAGGAGTAAGTTCTTGCAAAGATCGTGTTGTCCTCTATTATCGGGTGCATCTACGAGGAAGGGGTAGATATCGTCGTCATCTGGACTATCTTCACTTGGAGTGTGTGTTTGGCTCATTTTTTCGTTTCATGACTGTTAATAAGTAACTATCGATGTGTCTAATTGGTTGATTCCAATTATACAAGTGTACTGGTTTGTGTTTATATTGCTTTTTTATTCTTCTTTTTCCTCTTTTTGATGAATTTGAAGTTGTTTCTGAGTCGGAAAAATATAATTGATCGTGAATGGGTTAATTTATATCAATTGATTCTTTTAATTTATAAAGTTCATCTAAATTGCTGGCTTCTGATTCTGAAAATGCGTTTCTATTTTTTGAAAATCTTTTTCGTGTGATTTGTCTATGTTTGTTTATTATTTTTCTTTTTATTGTTAGTCGTTTTATTCTAATATATCCAACTGTTTGTGTATGAGGTGTGATTACAAGATCGTATTTTTTGTTATCTATTTCACAGTTGTGTAAAACAATTGTTTGTTTATTTCCTAGATTTTTAAATGACATAAGGTTTAGGATGAGGGATGCAAAAAGTTGTTAGATGATTTCTACTTTCTTAAACTGTTAGTCCTCACGATTTTTTTGGTTAGCTTAACCTGGGTCTATTTGTTCAGGGTTGGAGAAAAAAGTATATCGATTCCGAAGAATGATTTTTTACTTTCTCGTGGCTAATATAAGCTAAGGTGTTAACTTACTTAATCTTACTTAGGGGTAGTGATTGTGTTCAAGGGTTGGAGAATAGTAAATCGATCCACAAGGTTCAGGTATAATTAGAACGCAAGTAGTTCGTTAGATACTATTTTAAACTTACTAAGTCTAAGATTTATCCTGGGTCTGGTAAGAGGAGGGTTCAAGTGAAGGATGAATAACCGAAGTTCTTCACTGTTTATCCTAATTTGAATGATTAGTTTTGTTCAAAAATTTCTATTAGTCTTAGGTTTTTTTGAAAGGGTTGGATAGTGAATAGACGTTTGAGGTCGTTAGACACTTGCTAAGTGGGTGGGGGAGAACAAAATTGTTTTTTTTTATCCAAGGATAGGCCTTGATGATCAAGTTTTAAATTTAGTGAAATAGAAAATTAATTAAGATCCAAGGATAAGCCTTGATGATCTGATTTTAAAATTAAGTGAATTTAAGTTTAAAATGGTTTAAATTTGTTTAAGAAAAAGATTTAGTGTTTTAATGATATTAGTGAGCTTATGATTGCTGTTATGTTTAGGTGATGAAGCTGGGACAACTGATGATTTTATGATTACTAACAATTTATTGTCATGCTACTAATTTTTGTTTTGATTTTCAATAAATATTTTCCAAACATGTTTTATATAATACTGCAGAATTTAGGAAAACGATCTGAGATCTTTTTATCAATCGTTATTGTATATTAATAATTTTGTTTAGCGCCTGAAATGATCATGAAGATTGACTTCAAGATTTTATGTTTGCAAATGAAAATCTAAATTCATTGCTAATAAAATTCTAAATATAAAAGTTTGTGTTGGCTTTTGCCGTACTATCATATAACTATATGGTAAGTTTCTACTTTGTCGTATGTCGTCTCTGGTTCGAGGTCTTCTTACGAATCCGGGTAGTTCTGTTATCGTTCGGAATATTGGCTCTGATCTATTGAGTCGTAGAGACATTTCGATTAAATTATCGTCGTATAACATTTTGAAAAGGTTTTGTCTAAATTCTAATCTATTTTTGGTTAATTCTAAGCTATTAAGGTCTTGTTCGAGACTTATGTTCGAGCATTTTGAACGTTTTTCGAACAGTTTTTGAACATATTCAAATGTTTTCTTAAGTGTCGAGAAAAATTGGTTTAAAAATTTGAGATTTATTCTAATTTTGAGCAAGTAACTCGAACGAGTAACGCACGAAAATGGACTTTCAATCTAAGTAAATTTAAATTTACTTTCAAAATATATAGATTTTGGATGCTCCGATTACCCTTTCCTTGGCAGTAACTTTCTGTAAAAAGGTGAAAACATCATTGTGCAGTATGAAATTTAAAAAATGAAATTAAAAATTTTTTTACAGATTATATTGTGGTCTGTTATTTATAATTTGAAGCCAATTGTTGTCAATTATGCCTTTTTCACTAACTTTCAACTCCTTTCAACTCAAAAACAGCGCTGAAGTGAACACTTTTTGCAGCTTTTTTGTAATTAAACACCGGATCATTCTTTGCTATACTGGCACAGCAGCCGGTGTCCTTGTTCACAATATAAGTTTACTCGTCTCGTAAACAAAATTTTGATTATTTTAAGTCTCTTAGTTTTTGTTTCTGTCAGAGAATGACGACTTCGAGTTGTGATAGTTTTGCGATGTCGTCATGTCTTCAGAAAGAACAAATACACAATAAAAGTGTTTTAAAATTTTTCTTAAACGAGCTTAGGCACGGTTTTTGATAGTTCGTTTCTATAAGCTCGTTTTTTGATAACTGAGATTTGAGAATAAATACATATATGCAAAAATTGCAATTATATGACATCACTAATTTATATGATTTTTCAGTTTCGCATTTCTCTGATTGATTCAAAGAGGTCACGTATATTCTTCACTAATACCAACTGAAATACAGGTATGTCTTTTGCCATGTGTTTAGACAATGTTGCACGGACAAAAAAAAACATTTGATTTGTCTTTTTGTTAATTGGCAACCTTTTTGATTTTTCCCGCAAACAAATTTACTATGATAAGAGATTTGAAAAAGAGTTTATCCGAATTTCAATCATTCTAGACGGCAAAACTTGCTGTTTCTGATCGGTAAGGGACTCTATCGACGCTTAGCTTTCATCGTGTTTGAGCAATTATAAGGCACTGCATTCGAAAAATTGGAGCTGATAGTTTTTAATTAGGCTACCCATTTTCTGCAACTAGTGGGGAAAGGGGGAGAGGGAAGGGCTATTATGGATACACTAAGAATATTATTTTTATTGCGTGCACTTATAATTTATAATCGTACAATTTTTTTAGTTTCTTTTTGACGACATATATTCAAAAATTTCCACCCCTCAGGGATTCGACCCCTGCCGACCCAAAGGGTGCCCCTTCGTACTATTTTGGGATATTAGTTTTTAGTTAATGACCCAAAAGTTTTTCTAAAGGCGCCTTAGGTGCATAAAAATGCCTTTTGTGACCTGTTTTTTCAAAACTCTGCTTGCGGCGCAGAAAATTTGACCAAAACAGGATCTTTTTTATGCGGTGGGAAAATCAACTTGGTCCATTTACAAAAAAGTAGACAAAATTTTTGAAAATTTTTTGAAAATCCGCCACCCCCTCGAGAAAATCCTAGATCAGCCCCTGGATACATATATGACTTAGTTTTTTTTAATGGCTAATTTTCGTAACTCAGAGCGGTTTCTGAAGAAGTTTAGGAGTTTTATCATAAAAACAAAACATAACCAGGCCAAACTGTGCACTGGATAGGATCACAATTTTGTGTCTGTATGTTCCTGGATTCCAGAGACAAGTCTTTAAACATGTTGAAATTTTGTCGGAACGATCAAAGGAAAGTAAAGAACAATAGAAGAACAAAGGGAGCGTCCTTGCTGCAGAATCCGCTTACAATGCACGACATACACAGTTTGGCCTCGTAATGAAAGGCCTGGTTTTAAAAAAAGGCCTCTAAGTGTGAAACGAATACAACTAAATTTTGTATAGAAACTTTATCTTTAGGGAAATTTTCTACACAGAGGCAAAGCGGAGCCAGAGCTTCGCAACACTTGCGATACGCCCAAACAATGTGTTTCAAGAAATAAAAAAGAAAATCGATGGCTTTTTTTTCATAAAAATTAGGTTAAAAAACATGAAATAATAAAATGAATAAATTGTATAACCGACCGGCACCAAAGGCATAATTTCTGGTTGAACACTTATTGAGGCGACAAAAAGTTCTTGTCGTAATGAAATTGTGAGCTACACATTTGTTAGAAGGCTTACAGAATGTTGTACTTTTGCGGGATGGAATATGTTGCGGGATGAAGTTTAAAAACTTAAAAAATGGTCTCAACTCATACTCTTAGGGTTTCTTGTGGAAAAAATTGAAAGTCTCTTTTGTAATTGAGATCCTACTTTGAGTTCCGGTAATTGAACTCAATATCAGATTTTGCATTGTAAATTTCAAGAAGTTTAAAAAATTCCTAATCTATGAAATTTTCGGAAAAAGAATGTTCCTAAACCTTTCCCAGTTTTCGTCAAGAAATAGGGTGCAACAATTTATATTGTTAAGGTTTTTACAACAAATTCTTTCAAATGAGCGAAGAATTTGTGAAACGGAAAAGCTTCCAAAAAGAATTAACATTTTTATTTTTTTCATTTTTCCCAAGTCATTACAGGTTTTTTGACGACAAATAAGACATAACTGCTTCTACAGAGAAAAGTCCCACGAAATAAATTAATTTTTAAAAAGAGCGCGCGCCTTAAAAAAATCAATTTTTTCAATTCAAAAAATTCCAAAAAGCTCAAAAACGGCGTTTCTGACATTTCTTTTGATAAATTGCCTAAAGCCCTTAAAATTTTGTCAAAATGAGTCTTTGTAGCGCTTTTATTACATTTCTTATTGCTCAATTGTGGTTTTACTGACCTAACCGCGAGATTACAAAATTTCTGGAACCTTCTATCCTTTAGAAAGTTATGGATCCACGTTTGTATTCAGGGTTTTTAGTCAGGCTACATTGGCACCTTGAGTAAACTATTTTGACGCTGTCAAAAAAAAAACTTTTATCTGGATGATCAAATTTTTAAATTAAGGTCAATTTCAACGAAAAAAAAACCTTTACTCTACTTCAATATACCTTGCACCATGTCACGCTGGATTTGAGTTGAATACGGTCCCCCTTCAAGGTTTCGAGCCCCTCGCTCGCCAAGGATAGGGTCCCCCCTTGATTTTTTGACATCCATTTTTGGCTTCAACCCTAAAATTTTCCGAAGGTGCCTTGGCGGCTATTATAAACAAATTTTTGGATGAGCGTGCGCCTAAAAATTGCTATTTTTGTGATATAAAAATGTTAAAAAAATCTCAAAAACGGCATTTTTAAGAAGAGTGCCTAGGGCGCAAAAAATTTTGTCAAAATGAGTCTTTGTAGCGCTTATTACATTTAATTTGGCACAACTTTAACTATACCGAGCTAACCGCAAGATTACGAACTTTCTGGAGCCTTCCATCCTATAGCAACTTATGTTTCCGCGTTTGTAGTCATAGTTTTTAGTCAAGTTAAATTGGCACCTTGAGTGAAATAACTTGACGCTGTCAGTAAAAAAAAAATTTCTGGTAGATCAAACTTATAAATTATGGTCAGTTTGAACGGAAAAATCTTAACTCAAATAGCAAGCTTTTGTTCCGCGTTTGTAGTCAAGGTTTTTATTTGGGAAAATTGGCACCTTGATTAAGTTATCTTGACGCTATCAGTAAAATTTTTTCTCTGGCTGATCAAATTTGTAAATTATGATCAGTTTGAACGGAAAAAACCATAACTCTACTCCAAAATACTTTGCAGCATCTCACGCTGGATTTGAGTTTAATAATCTCCCCCTTCAAGGATTCGACCCCCTCGGTCGCCAACCATAGGGTCCTCATATGGTTTTATTTTATAAACCCTAAAATTTTCTTAAAGTGCCATGGACGTTTATGTAAATTAACTTTTAAGAGGAGCTCGCGCTTAAAAAAGGCGTTTTTTAAAATGCATTGAGTCACCCCCCTTCAAGGATCGCCATATGGTACTCCCTTATGTTTTTTTTGACATATTTTTTTTGGCAAAAACCCTAAAATTTTTCTAAAGGTGCCCTGGGCGCCAATATAAACTAATTTCTAAGGGCGTAAAAAAAGGTTTCTTTTTAATAAACAGTTTTCCAAAAATCTCCAAATTGGCGTTTTTGACTTAACTTTTTTAAAAAAAAATTGCTGTCGGCGCTGAAATTTTTCTCAAAACAGTCTTTATAGTTTTCTTTGAACGCTCGGAATGTCAATTTGGTCCATTTAATTCAAAGTTTTCTGGGTTAGTCTGGGACCTAAACTTTTATAGCTCAGAAGCGACAGGGATCTACCTAATGGAAACCAAATTTGGGAGGGGATGCCAGATCAAATTATCTGCAGCGCTTTTATTACATTTACTTTTACACAATTTGAATTATACTGACCATACTGATCACAAACTTTCTGGATTATTCAAGCCTATAGCGTTCCGCGTTTGTAGCCAGGGTTTTAGTCAGGCTAAATTGGCACTTTTAGTAAGTTATCTTGACGCTGTTAGCAAAAATTTATCATCTGGTTGATCGAATTCTTAAAGTATTGTCAGTTTGAACGAAAAAAACCTTAAATCTACTCCAATTACCTTACGTCATCTTACGCTGGATTTGATTTTCAGTTCTGCCTAATATGAATTGCTTAAGCCCTGAAACAGAATAGGGAGCTGGATAATCCCGGAAAAACAGATAACTAATTTACCAAATATTATCGCCGGAGTCATGTCAGTCGTTAAGCAGTTCGATAATTTTTGAAAATGATCTTACCGAAATCTTGACCAGTTACTCTCTAAATGCCAATCTTAAAAAGGACTACAGACTTCTTTGAAAACGGAAAAAAACTCGATGAAAAATATAACCAAAAGAAAGATGGCCGGCCATTTATGTGTCCTCCTGCTCCTAACCAAAAATGGTTCGATATTTACGACCCAAAAGACTTCGAAACTAATCCTCAGTTGAAAGACGAGGCCAAACAGCAAGGCGCTTATGAAGCTGAAACTCAAGTTTATCGTGCGTTTGAGAAACTAAAAGAGAGTATGCTAGTTCTACATGGTTTCAGCTACAGTCGTTCCCAACTGAGAATTTGGCTGAAGAATCATCCACAAAAGCAAAGCTCTGAAAAAGTTGGAAAATGCAAAAAAGATCCAAATTCTGACGAGGCAGAGCACGATTTTGTAGTAATAGGCCCTGATTACATTGTAATATTGGAAGTTAAAAGCACGTCGGGACGTTTCGCTGGAACCGCAAAGAAAAACTCTCAAGAGCAGCAAAGAAGGTTTTGGAAACTAATTGAAGGTATTTTTGCAACAGCAAAAGTTTCATTTCCTCACTTTGATTCCAGCAATATAAGATTATTTGGTATCACTGTCTTACCAAACCAAAAGCCGACGCCATTTGATAGCGCAGTCGAAACAGGGAAAAGATACATGATCAAAATTAAAAACATGACTGACGAATATTTCTGTCCCATTTTAATGCTGAGTCGGATTCAAACGATTTGGTGCGACGATAGACAACCCCGGTTGTCAATACCCGAAACATTTTGCATCAATTCTGAAGATCTGAACAACAATTTCCAAAAATGGTGGACGGAAAACATAAATCCAGGCAAACGGGATTATGTTGCGGAATGTGATTCAACCGAGGAGATTCGATATGCTTTATTAGCTCTTTGGGCAACTGACAAAAAAGGCAATCTAAACGAGACTTCTTTTAGTCTTACTCATTGCATTGATAGAATTGACCAACGAATTAGAACAGGGGAAATAACACGTTTCAGTCAAAATACAAAAAATCCAAACGTAAAAAATCCGAACGTTGTGAAAACCTCCGATATTAAGCTCGCTGAAGTAAACGGGGTTAATATTTTCAGTGATATCTTGAAAATTAAATTTCTGTCTGTAGAACAGAAGAAAGCTTATGAATCTGCGAGCTTCCATCTGCTAATCCAGGGATCTGCAGGCTCTGGAAAAACTTCCATTCTACTTGCACGAATTATCCGAGATTTAGGTTTGAAAACGATAGAAAAGGCTATTCTCTTTACAAGAAAAACCGAATACGTTTCAATCCATCGAAAAATTTTAAACGAAGCTATACGACAAAAAATTTTCGCAAAAACTGGTCTTAAAATTGCCGAAGTTTCTAAAGTCAGTGGGAGTGCGATTCGAGACAACCAAATTTTACTTGTTGACAATTTAAATTCGTTATCTTCTAGCAAGGAACACATTGCCCGTTCAATCCATGTTTACGTTGATGATATTCACAGTGATTACAACTTCGAAGATCTTGGATTCAGAATAAGTTGTGCCGCAGTCGACACACTTCAGTGCAACTTCCTAGTGAAAATTAGGGATGGTTCTAAACAACTAAGTAAGTACGGAATCCGGCAACCTTGATAACAGGCCTAAAAATCAGTTTAATTAATCACAAACACCTTTACTTACTAAATCTAGCTAACAATTACATTCTATGGTATCTACTAAAGAATCGCCACCTCTATAAAAAAGCTGTAAACAAGCGCTAAAGCTTTGTATTGAGAATTCGAGTTTTGCTGCGTTCTGATTGGTAGATAATTCGACTAACTTCATCTAATTAACCTTGAACGCTCCTTTTCTTGAAGGGGGGTTAGAGGCCTACCTTTCAGTATGACCAATTATCATTAGACTTTGTATTCTGGTTTTTTATCTTAAAGGTAATAATTTTTGGAATTATAAATTGTTTTTTTTTTTCTGTTGAGTGGTTCTAATCAGGGTTGTTAAAAATTGAGTCCAGATTCATCACTATATTTTTTAATAACTTGAGAAGTACACAATTGAGATTATAATATAATAAAGTGGAACAAAAAATTTTAAAAAAAATATTGTTTTCCAGTTTTTGCTAGTAAAATTTGTTAGTTGCAGATTTCTTAGCAGTTCTTGTTCGATCGAGAATTGTATCAAGTTTCTGTCCCTCTTTTCTGTCTTTTGATCTGTTCAGATTTTTTTTTCATATTCTGTTGTTATTAAGTCTAACTTAACAAAAATCAGCGCCAAAATCTTCTGTTAGTTCCAGTATCACTCCAAAAAGATAATAAATAGTGTTCTTCAAATCCAGATCGCAGACTTAAATGCCTTAGGCTAAAAATAATATAAGCATAAGTGAAATGTCCTTGCTGGCAAAAACTAACCAAATCAATAGGTCCGGTGCTCGGTGGTGGTAATCGGCCCTTATTTGTCATCAAAAAACCGAAATATAATTGAATAATTAAGTGGTAATTTTAAAGTTTTGAAAAAATCAAAAAACAAAAGTTGAAATGCTTAATTCAAAATAGTCAAATCATATATCCTAAAATAATGAGCAAGACTGTTTTATCTTGAATGCCAATCAAATTTTTTTCCATCAGCTGCTATAATATCGCGTTGTAGGTGTGATGATCGTAGTGAACATGGTCCTTATTTGATTTGTAGTTAAGTTTTACCAATAACTTTGCATAGTTTTTTCAAAACTTCTTATCGAGAACATGATTTAGAAAATTTATTTCTGCTAGCTACATTTCCATTGGCATAAAAGATAAAATTAGAATCCTTTGATGTGGTATTGCGTCAACCCATTTCTTCATCGCTTTTGTGAGTTCACTTAGCCTTTTTGATTTTAGAAACTCCTTTCTGGGATGATTGCATGCATCATTTCCACCTGACATAAAAACAATATGCGTGAATTTCCGGAAATCTTTACCACGCTACCTTTCAAACAGGTAACCCTTTTTCAGATAACCCAATGAAAGTGGTTTCCGTTTCATAGTAACCATTCGAGTGAGTGTTCTCGAAATAAAAAACATGACAATCGCCAATAATTGCGACACTTTTTTCCATTTTTTCTGAATGATTTCTAATGTTTCGTCTTTGAGTGTTTTTACAAGTCATACAACCGGTCGTTTATAGATTCCGATTTTTAATTTTATTTTCTGCAGATCGTGCGATACTTTTTTAACTATAGTGTAATTTCAGATTCTTTCCTTAGTGAAGTTTGCTCTAAAATCTTGCGTGTCGACAATCCATACAAAGTCATCTTCTTCGAATTATGTTTTCTAATCTTTGGACCATTTGTGCCTTGTCGAATGCATCTCTATGAATCTTTCTGAAATCTGCGCCAGATTTGGTTATCATTTATTTGAGATGCTTTGAAATTCTTTAAATCACCTTCATACTCTTTTGAGTATGTTCGGAACAGTTCCGATCCTGATGATCCAATCGAGAAAAGAATTGTGGTATTCGCTTCGTAACTATCAATGTCATCCGAAACTGATGTGGGAAGTCTTTGGTTTAGAATGCCTTCCACTATGTTGACAGTTGTGGTCAAAATGTCCTCCGTATTGTTTTGTGTTCCGATGACATTTTACATTGCCTTTTCTTGCAGTTCTAATTAGTCGTTTCCTTAAACCTCCAAAGTGTGACTCATTTGGTGGATTAAACCTCCATTCCTTGTATCGCTTTGCCCTTGATTCATTTTTTGGCGAACATTGTTTAATTTGTTCTTGAAGGTGATTGTTCCTTCCGACAAAATGCGTCCCATTGCCGCTCACGATGAGATCCGGCTCACGTCTTCGAACGATGAATCGAAACAAGCAATTTAACATTGATTGGGTTGACAAATCATTAGCAACTTCAAGATACACGGCCGTGTTGTGAGACAAGTCATCAGACATATGCATCTTTTTTTTCTGACGGTATCCTTACTTTTAAATTGAAAGGTGCAGAGTAATCCACACCTTAAGAAGTCCATCCTCAACTTAGATAAGTGTGCCATCATTAGAGAAAAATTCCTCTGCGATGCCTATATACAGGGTACACAATTAGCCTTGATTTGTCTAAGTTTGTTTCTTACACCAAAAATATTGAAACTATCTTAAACCTTGCTTCTGATTTGTTCTGTCCAATGTGATGATTTTCCAGATGTTCATTGCTCAGGAAAATAACATCTACATGGCGTATTGAATACAAAATACTTGCATGCTTTTGAGAAAATTACAAATCATTCGACCTTATCAGTCTGCCTCTTGCTCTCATCAACCCTTCGCCTTTTGCATCGATGAATGGATTCAATTTTTTTATATGAATTTGTTTCTCTTCCCTGAAGTTTTCATGTTGAACACACCTAAAGATAACTTTCATAGCTTTCTGATTCTCTTCAGCTGCTATACTCAATTTTTTGGGTTACCTTTCTGAATTGATATTACACTTAATAAGTGAGCAATCGTGTTTTGAAGTCGTTTAAAGTTCCTAAACCTATGCCAACTGGCCAAATGTTCAATAATTCTAACGTTTTTACAAGTTTTTTCAATTACTTCTTCCACTTCAACATCTTTGATGTTCAATTTCTTTGGCCATTCCTCTTTATCCTGGTCGGCCCGCGTAACCAGGTACTTTCAAGTTAGTGTGAGTACTCTTGAACTTAGATCTGCCGGGTTTAATTCTCCTTTAGCATGTCTCCATGTATTGGTCGACTTCGTGTCAAGAATCATTAAGACTCTATTTACTACCAAGATCGGCAACTTTTCAGATGACAACCAAGCTAGTACAAGCTAGAATCTGACCACAAATAGTCTTTGTTCACAGTGTTTTTTGTAATTCCAGTATTTGTATTTTGTTTTTAATTCTTGAGGCTATCACTGCTGCTTGTAGCTCCAAACGTGGTAAGCTTAATTGTTTTCTTGGCGCAACTCTCGTTTTTCAAGCAACGAAAGATTAATATTTAGTGTCATCTATCACTGATGCCTAAAAGTAAGCAAACGCACAGGGACCTTCAAGTGAAGCATCAGCGATTACGTGGAGATCAATCTCTGTAAGAATGAAGCTGAAGTATTTTCTTGTGGTTTCAATGTTTTTGATTTGTGTAAGTTCTTTTCTCCCAGACTCATACTCTCAGCGAAATTTTCCAGGATTTTTTTGTCCCATTCAACACCTTCAGGTTTCCAAAGTTTCTTCAAAACGTTCCTTAATGGAATGGTGAAGGCGGACAATAGTCTTAGTTCATCTAATAGTGAAGAAACCACGCTAAGCAAATCTTTTTGTGAGAATCCTTGGATTGGCTTATCCTTCATTCGACAATTTGCTAAACTATCCGATTTTATGGTCCACTTGATTCCCAGAATCGACGATTCCTTTTCTTCAGTTTTTCAGATAACTCTGCAATGTTGCTACAAAACTTTGTTAGCTTTGACATTTAACTTCTTGTTGTTGTTTGAGGTGCTCGGCTTTTATTTTGTCATTGCTTGAGTATATGAAACCATTCATTAAAAAATGATTCGATATTTCCTGAAAAACGTCAATTTTCATTTTCAATGATTTGTTCATAATTTGCACAAGCTGGTGAACTGCTGGCTCCAAACATATGCCTGTTAAAATTGCTTATCACTATTTTATAGCTCTTTTTTTGATATCTGGATATAAAAACCTCAGACATTGATTATCCTTTTTTTCACCTTAAAATGAAATAACATCTGCTCGATATCCGCTGTGATAACAATCTTGATTTTGAACAAGATTACTACAAGCTTTTGCAACAAATCTGGCCCAGGAAAGAATGTTTCATTCAAAGGTTTCCCTTTATACTTCGAAGCTGCATTACAAACTCTTCCGATTTCCCTGGTTTGTGGTGAATGACTGGAAGATGAGATAAAAATCGGATTCTGGCATTGCCAGTGTTGAATAAGTCATATTGAGACACTTTCGAAATGAATACGTTTTCGAGATCAATTTTTATTGTCTTGATACTGTGTTTTTAGTTCATCATCTTTACTGAGCCTTCATTGTAAAGACCTAAATTGCTCCATGACTTTTTCTAGTTGTTTATAAAACTGAATTGAATTCCGACATCAAAAACTCAAATTCCCAGCTACCAAATTCAATTTTTTTAAATAGATTCTAGGATTTGCTGAGCCCGTTTTTCTTCACTAGATAACAATTCAACATTTTTCACTGATCCAGAGCTTTCTAAAGACCACAACTTTTAACCTTTTGAGCCAACTGCTCTGCTGTAAAACAGAAATACGATCGCGTTTTGCATTCATATGTTGCCTTTTGTCCCATTGGACCACTTAGTTACCAACCAAGAGGTGTTCTTACACCCCATCGACTTCTCCTGTGCAGACTTTTGTATTCTATTGGTCTTATCAATTTGAAATTTTTGAACCAAACAATTGATGCTTTCCGGCTTGATATTCTTGGTGGATTCCTTCACTGTTACTCTTTCCGTGATGCTTATTGAACTGTTAGCTCCGGTCAGTTCTCTTTTGCATCTAACTTTAACGATTCTTTGGGAGATTTGTCTTTTGACTCAGTGTCTTGTAAAAAACAAGTCTCCATTGATTTGCCACTTCTTGGGTTATTTGGTTGCCTTCTTGTTATTTTCAGCAAACCACTACTGGATGTCATGCTATAAGATTTGGTTGATTATTGGTGTTTTGGTCTTCTTCCAAATCTATTTTCATTTAATAGTCGGTTGTGTTTTCTTTCACATCCTTCTAGGCCACATGGATTGAATTTACATTTTTTGTTGCTATGTGCCTTACCCAATTATCCAATGCCTTTTTGTGCTTTTTCCGACAACACATTCCTATTTCACATTTATCGTCTTGAAGTCTGGGCA